TAAAATGGTCCTTAAATGACCCCAAAATGGTTCTTAAATGGTCCTTAATGGTTCTAAAATGGTCCTTAAATGACCCCAAAATGGTCCTCAAATGACCCCTCAAATGGTCCTTAAATGACCCCAAAATGGGCCTTAAATGACCCTAAAAAGGGCCATAAATGACCCTAAAATGGGCCTTAAATGATCCCAAAATGGCCCTTCAAATGACCCCTAAAATGGGCCTTAAATGACCCCCAAAATGGCCATTAAATGACCCCCAAAATGGTCCTTAAATGGTTCTTAAATGACCCCCAAAATGGTCCTTAAATGACTCCTAAAATGGTCTTTATATGGTTCTTAAATGACCCCCAAAATGGTCCTTAAATGACCCCCAAATGGTCCTTAAATGACCCCAAAATGGCCCTTAAATGATCCCCCAAATGGTCCTTAAATGGTTCTTAAATAACCCCGAAAATGACCCTCAAATGACCCCCAAAATGGCCCTTAAATGACCCCAAAATGGCCCTTAAATGACCCCAAAATGGTCCTCAAATGACCCCAAAATTGCCCTTAAATGACCCCAAAATTGCCCTTAAATGACCCCAAAATGGGTATTAAATGACCCCAAAACGTCCCTCAAATGACCCCCCAAGTGTCCCTGAAATGGCCCTTAAATAACCCCCCAAACAACCCCTAAAAAGCCCCTAAAAAGTCCCCCCAACTCTTTTTTTTTGTGCCCGGGGGGCTCAGCGGGGCCTCTGAGGGCGATGGGGGGGAGCTGCTCCTGGGGGGCATCGACGAGGGGCAGTTCCAGGGCCCCCTGCGCTGCATCCCCGTCACCCGACGGGGCTACTGGCAGATCCACATGGACAGGTGAGACCCCCGACCCCCCGGGACCCCCCCAAATGTGCCCTGATCCCTCTGAGACCCCCAAACCTGCCCGGGACCCCCCCTAATTCCCACTGATCCCTCTGAGACCCCCAGACCCGCCCGGGACCCCCCAAATGTGCCCTGATCCTTCTGAGAGCCCCAAACCTGCCCAAGACCCCCAACCCCCAGGACCCCCAAATGTGCCCTGATCTCTCTGAGACCCCCACACCCCCAGGACCCCCCAAATTCCACTTGTCCCTCTGAGACCCTGAACCCCAGGACCCCCCAAATGGGCCCTGATCCTTCTGAGACCCCAAACCCTCTCCAGGACCCCCCAAATGTGCCCTGATCCTTCTGAGAGCCCCAACCCCTAGGACCCCCAAATGTGCCCTGGTCCCTCTGAGACCCCAAACCTCCCCAGGACCCCCAGCCCCAGGACCCCCCAAATCTCCCCTGATCCCTCTGAGACCCCGAACCCCCAGGACCCCCAAATGTGCTCTGATCTCTCTGAGACCCCAAACCTGCCCAGGACCCAAACCCCAGGACCCCCAAATAGTGCCCTGATCTCTCTGAGACCCTCAAACCCCCGGGACCCCCTAATTCCCACTGATCCCTCTGAGACCCCAAACCCCAGGACCCCAAATTCCCACTGATCCCTCTGAGACCCCAAACCTCCCCAGGACCCCAAACCCCAGGACCCCCAAATGTGCCCTGATCCCTCTGAGACCCCACACCCCAGGACCCCAGACCCCAGGACCCCCAAATGTGCCCTGATCCCTCTGAGACCCCAACCCCTGGGACCCCCAAATGTGCCTGATCCCTCTGAGACCCCCAAACCTGCCTGGGACCCCAGAACCCCCAGGACCCCCAAATGTGCCCTGATCCCTCTGAGACCCCCAAACCTGCCTGGGACCCCCAACTCCCCAGGACCCCCCAAATTCCCACTGATCCTTCTGAGACCCTCAAACCTTCCCAGGACCCCCAAACCCACCTGGGACCCCCTAAATCTCCCCTGATCCCTCTGAGACCCTGAACCCCAGGACCCCAAACCCACCCGGGACCCCTCCAAATGTGCCCTGATCTCTGAGACCCCAAACCCCCAGGACCCCCAAATCTCCCTGATCCTCTGAGACCTCTGAACCACCCTGGGACCCCCAAATGTCCCCTGATCCTTCTGAGACCCCCAAAACTGCCCGGGACTCCCGAACCCCCAGGACCCCCAAATTCCCACTGATCCCTCTGAGACCCCCCAAACCTCCCAGGACCCCCCAAATGTGCCCTGATCCCTCTGAGACCCCCAGACCTGCCCAGGACCCCCCAAATTCCCACTGATCCTCTAAGACCCTCAACTCCCAGGACCCCCTCAAATTCCCACTGATCCCTCTGAGACCCCAAACCTGCCCGGAACCCCGAGCCCACAGGACCCCCAAATGTGCTCCTGACCCTCTGAGACCCCCAAACCTGCCTGGGACCCCCAAATGTGCCTGGGACCCCCAAATCTCCCCTGATCCCTCTGAGACCCCCAAACCCCCGGAACCCCAAACCCACCGGGCCCCCAAATGTGCCTGGGACCCCCAAATCTCCCCTGATCCCTCTGAGACCCCAAACCCCCGGGACCCCCAAATGTGCCTGGACCCCCAAATCTCCCCTGATCCCTCTGAGACCCCCAAACCCCCTGAACCCCCAAACCCACCTGGGACCCCCAAATGTGCCCTGATCCCTCTGAGACCCCACACCCCCAGGACCCCCAAATGTGCCCTGATCCCTCTGAGACCCCCACACCCCTAGGACCCTGAACCCCAGGACCCCCAAATGTGCCTGGGACCCCCAAATGTGCCCTGATCCCTCTGAGACCCCCAAACCCCCTGGGACCCCTGAACCCCAGGACCCCCAAATGTGCCCTGATCCCTCTGAGACCCCCACACCCCCGGGACCCCCAAATGTGCCCTGATCCCTTTCAGACCCCCAAACCTGCCTGAGACCCCCAACCCCCGGACCCCCAAATTCCCACTGATCCCTCTGAGACCCCCAAACCTGCCTGGGACCCCAAACCTGCCTGGGACCCCCAAATGTCCCCTGTTCCTCTGAGACCCCCAAACCTGCCCGAGACCCCCAAATCCCCCGGGACCCCCCAAATGGGCCCTGATCCCTCTGAGACCCCAACCCCCCCGGACCCCAAACCTGCCCAGGACCCCCCAAATGTGCCCTGATCCCTCTGAGACCCCCAACCCCTAGGACCCCCAAATGTGCCCTGATCCCTCTGAGAGCCCCAAACCTGCCCGGGACCCCCGAACCCACCTGGGACCCCCAAATTCCCACTCATCCTCTGAGACCCCCAAACCTGCCTGGGACCCCCAAATGTGCCCTGATCCCTCTGAGACCCCCAACCCCGGGACCCCCAAATGTGCCCTGATCCTCTGAGACCCCAAACCTGCCCGAGACCCCAAATCCCCCAGGACCACCCCAAATGTGCCCTGATCCCTCTGAGACCCCCAAACCTGCCCAGGACCCCCAAACCCACCTGGACCCCCAAATGTCCCCTGATCCTCTGAGACCCCCAAACCTGCCTGGGAACCCCCAAATTCCCACTGATCCCTCTGAGACCCCAAACCATCCCGGAACCCCCAAATCTTCCCATATCTCTCTGAGACCCCAACCCCCGAGATCCCCCTAATTCCCACTGATCCTCTGAGACCCCGACCCCTGGGACCCCCAAATTCCCACTCATCCCTCTGAGACCCCCAAGCCTCGCCGGGACCCCCAAACCTGCCTGGGACCCCCAAATTCCCACTGATCCCTCTGAGACCCCAAACCTGCCCAGGACCCCCAAATGTGCCCTGATCTCTTTGAGACTCCTGAACCTGCCTGGGACCCCCAAATTCCCACTGACCCCTCTGAGACCCCAAACCTGCCTGGGACCCCCAACCCCAGGACCCCCAAATGTGCCCTGATCCTCTGAGACCCCCAACCCCCGGACCCCCCCAAATGTGCCCTGATCCCTCTGAGACCCTGAACCTGCCTGAGACCCCCAAACCCCCTGGACCCCCAAATTCCCACTGATCCCTCTGAGACCCCTGAACCCCCGGGACCCCCTAAACCCACCCGGGACCCCTCAAATCTCCCCTGATCCCTCTGAGACCCCCACAACCCCTAGGACCCCCAAATGTGCCCTGATCCCCCAAATCCCCTGACCCCTTTAGCTGCCCCCTGAGACCCCTCAACTGCCCCCTGACCCCTTTAATGACCCCCAACTGCCCCTGACCCCTCTAACGACCCCCAACTGCCCCCCAAACCCCCAACTGCCCCCTGACCCCTCTAACGACCCCAACTGCCCCCAAACCCCCCCAAATATCCCCCTGCCCTCTAATGACCCCCAACTGCCCCCCCAAACCCCCCAACTGCCCCTGACCCCTCTAACGACCCCCAACTGCCCCTCAACCCCCCAACTGCCCTGACCTCTAACGACCCTCAACTGCTCCCCAAACCCCCAAATATCCCCTGACCTCTAACCACCCCCAATTGCCCCCTGACCCCATTAGTGACCCCCAACTGCACCCCAAACCTCCAAATATCCCCCTGACCCTCTAACCACTCCCCAACTGCCCCCAAACCCCCAACTGACCCCTGACCCCTTTAATGACCCCCAACTGCCCCCAAACCCCCCAACTGACCCCTGACCCTTTAATGACCCCAACTGCCCCCTCGACCCTTTAATGACTCCCCAACTGCCCTCCCAAACTCCCCTAACTGCCCTCCCAAACTCCCCACTGCTCCCCTGACCCCTCTAACCACCCCCAATCTGCCCTCAAATATCCCCTGACCCTCTAACGACCCCAACTGCCCCCAAATATCCCCTGACCCCTTTAACGACCCCTCAACTGCCCCCCAAACCCCTCAACTGCCCCTGACCCCTCTAACGACCCCCAACTGCTCCCTCAAATATCCCCCTAACCCTTTAACGACCCCCAACTGCCCCTGACCCCTCTAACGACCCCTATCTACCCCCAACCTCCCAACTGCCCCCTGACCTCTAACGACCCCCAACTGCTCCAAACCCCCAACTACCCCCTGACCCTCTAACGACCCCCAACTGCCCCCTGACCCTCTAACGACCCTCAACTGCCCCCCGACCTCTAACGACCCCCAACTGCCCCTGACCCTCTAACGACCTCTCAACTGCTCTCCTGACCCCTCTAACGACTCCCTCTAACTGCCCCCCAAACCCCCCTCTAACTGCCCCTCCAATCCTCTAACTGCCTCAAACTCCCCAACTGCCCCCACAACTGTCCCCTGACCCTCTAACGACCCTCACAACTGCCCCCGGCCCTCTAACGACCCCTGCGCTCTCCCAAACCCCCAACTGTCCCCCCTGCCCCTCTAACCACCCCCCACTGCCCCCCCAACTCCCTCTAACGACCCCCAAACCCCTCCAGCTGCCCTCAACCCCCACTGCCCTCAAACTCCCTCAACTGCCCCCCAACTGCTCCCTGACCCTCTAACGAAGCTCCAACTGCCCTCCAAACCCCCCAGCTGCCCCCTGCCCCTGTAACGCCCCCCCTGCCCCCAGGCTGTCGGTGGGCTCCGCGGGCTCCGTGGGGTGCCGGGACCCCCCCGTGTGCCGGGGGGGCTGCGAGGCCATCGTGGACACGGGCACGTCCCTCATCACCGGCCCCAGCACCGAGGTGGCCGCCATGCAGAAAGCCCTGGGGACCCTGCCCTGGGGCAGGCACGACCCCGAATCCTGGGGACCCCAAATCCTCGGGGCCCCCAAACTCCTGGGGTCTCCCAAATCATCCCCCCAGTGTGGGTGCTCTTGGGTGGGGGTCTCTCAGTGATCCTGGAGGCAGGTACTGGACCCCCAAACTCCTGGGGACACCCCCAAATCCTGGGGTCTCCCTTAATCATCCCCCCCCAGTGTGGGTGCTCTTTGGGTGGGGGTCTCTCGTGTCCTGGGGGGGCAGGTACGGACCCCCAAATCCTGGGGGACACCCCCAAATCCTGGGGACCCCGAAATCCTGGGGTCTCCCCTGAAATCCTGGGGAATCCCTCGAAATCCTGGGGGTCTCCCCTAAATCCTGGGGGTCCATCCTGAACCCCCCACCCAGTGTGGATGCTCTTTGGGTGGGGGTCTCCCGTTGCCCTGGGGGCAGGTATGGACTAGGGGGGGCTCCTGGGGTCCTCCCAGCACCCTGGGTGGGGGTTATTGGGGGTCCCTGAGTCTCCTTTAGGGTGGGAGGCATTGGGGGGTCCCTCCCTTTGGGTGGGGGGCACTGGGAGTCCCTGAACTCCTTTGGGTGGGGGTTATTGGAGGGTCTCTGGGTGCCCTTTAGGGTGGGGGTTTTGGGGTCTCTGGTGCCCCAGGCCCTGATTCCAGTTTGGGGGCATTGGGTCTCTGGGTGCCCTTTTGGGTGGGGGGCATTGGGGGTCCCTGAACTCCTTTGGGTGGGGGTTGGGGTCTCTGGGTGCCCCTTTTGGGTGGGGGTTACTGGGGGGTCCCTGAACTCCTTTGGGTGGGGGTTATTGGGGGTCTCTGGGTGCCCCTTTAGGGTGGGGGGCATTGGGGGTCTTTGGGTGCCCCTTTAGGGTGGGGGGTGTTTGGGGGGTCTCTGGGTGCCCCCCAGACCCCTGAATCCCGTTTTGGGGGGCATTGGGGGTCTCTGGGTGCCCCCAGACCCCTGAGTCCCCGTTTTGGGGGGGGCATTGGGGGTCTCTGGGTACCCCTTTAGGATGGGGTCATAGGGGGTCTCTGGGTGCCCCTTTAGGGTGGGAGGCACTGGGGGTCTCTGGGTGCCCCTTTAGGGTGGGGTGTTTAGGGTTCTGGGTGCCCCAGACCCCTGAATCCCGTTTGGGGGGCATTGGGGGTCTCTGGGTACCCTTTGGGTGGGGGTGCTGAGTCTCTGGATGCCCCCCAGGGCCCTGATCCCTATTTTGGAGGGGACATTGGGGGTCTCTGGTTGCCCCTTCTGGGTGGGGGGCATTGAGGGTCCCTGAACTCCTTTGGGTGGGGTTATTTGGGCTGGATGCCCATTTGGGTGGGGGCGTTGAGGGGTCCCTGGTGCCTCCCAGACCCCTGGGTGGGGTTGTTGGGGTCTCTGGAGTGCCCCAGGCCCCTGATTCCAGTTTTGGGGGCATTGGGGTCCCTGAGTCCCCCTTTGGGTGGGGTACTGGGGGTCCCTCCCCTTTGGGTGGGGGTATTTGGGGTCTCTGGGTGCCTTTAGGTGGGGGTGTTTGGGGTCTCTGGGTGCCCCTTTAGGGTGGGGGGTGTTTGGGGTCTCTGGGTACCCCCCAGACCCCTGATTCCCATTTTGGGTGGGGTTATTGGGGTCTCTAGGTCTCCCTTAGGTGGGGGCTATTGGGGTCTCTGGGTGCCCCTTTAGGGTGGGGGTTTTGGGGTCTCTGGTGCCCCAGACCCCTGAGTCCCGTTTTGGGGGCATTGGGAGTCTCTGGAGTGCTCCCTTAGGGTGGGGGTTTTGGAGGGTCTCTAGTGCCTCCCATGCCCTGATTCCCATTTTGGGGGGGTGTTTGGGGGTCTCTGGGTGCCCCTTAGGTGGGGGCTTTGGGGTCTCTGGGTGCCCCCATGCCTCTGATTCCCGTTTGGGGGGCTATTGGGGGGTCTCTGGGTGCCCTTTAGGGTGGGGTATTGGGGTCTCTGGGTGCCCTTTAGGGTGGGGGGCATTGGAGTCTCTGGGTGCCCCAGGCCCTGATTCCCGTTTTGAGGGGGGCATTGGGGGTCTCTGGTTGCCCCTTTTGGGTGGGGGCACTGGGGGTCTCTGGGTGCCCCTTTAGGGTGGGGGGTTTTGGGGGGTCTCTGGGTGCCCCTTTAGGGTGGGGGTTACTGGGGTCCCTCCCCTTTAGGGTGGGGGTGTTTGGGGTCTCTGGGTGCCCCCAGGCCCCTGATTCCAGTTTTGGGGTTGTTTGGGGTCTCTGGGTGCCCCTTTTAGGGTGGGGGTTTGGGGTCTCTGAGTGCCCCAGACCCCTGATTCCAGTTTTGGGGGGTGTTTGGGGGTCTCTGGGTGCCCCCCAGGCCCCTGATTCCAGTTTTTGGGGGGTGTTTGGGGTCTCTGGGTGCCCCCCAGCCCCCTGATTCCCGTTTTTGGGGGGGTCTCCCCCCGTGTCCCCTCCCCCCAGTACACGGTGGACTGTGACAAGGTCCCCTCCCTGCCCAACGTCACCTTCGGGCTCGGGGGACAGGACTTCACCCTGGGACCCCAGCACTACACCATGCAGGTGCCACCCCCTGGCCCCAATGTCCACAATGTCCCCACAGTGTCCCCCAATGTCCCCCAGTGTCCCCAATGTCCCCAGTGTGTCCCAACCCCCAATGTCCCCTGTCCCCTCAGTGTGTCCCCAATGTGTCCCCAACCCCCCAATGTCCCCAATGTGTCCCCAATGTCCCCAATGTGTGTCCCCAATGTCCCCAATGTCCACAATGTGTGTCCCCAATGTCCCCAATGTCCCCACAGTGTCCCCCATGTCCCCCATGTCCCCCAGTGTGTTCCCTGTGTCCCCAATGTGTCCCCAATGTCCCCAATGTCCCCAATGTCCCCTATCCCCCCAACATCCCCAATCCCCCCAACATCCCCAATGTCCCCAATGATATCCCCAATGTGTCCCCAATCCCCCCAGTGTCCCCAATGATGTCCCCACTGTCCCCAGATGTCCCAGTACGGTTCCCCATGTGCATCCTCGGGTTCATGGGGCTGGACCTAACACCCCCAATGTCCCCAATGTCCCCAATGTCCCCAATGTCCCCAATCCCCAGTGTCCCCAATGTCCCCAATGTCCCCAATGTCCCCAATCTCCCAAGTCCCTCAATGTCCCCAATCCCCAATGTCCCCAGTCCCCAATGTCCCTCCAATGTCCCCAATCCCCAATGTCCCTAATGTCCCCAATCCCCCAATGTCCCCCAATGTCCCTCAATGTCCCCAATGTCCCCAATGTCTCAGTCCCCAATGTCCCCAATGTCCCCAATCCCCCAGTGTCCCAATCCTCAATGTCCCCAGTGTCACAGTCCCCAATCCCCAATGTCCCCAGCGTCCCCAACATCCCCCAATGTCCCCAATCCCCAATCCCCAATGTCCCCAACATCCCCAATGTCCCCAATCCCCAATGATGTCCCCAATGTGTCCCCACTGTCCCCAGGTGTCCCAGTACGGTTCCCCCATGTGCATCCTCGGGTTCATGGGGCTGGACCCCAACACCCCCAATGTCCCCACTGTCCCCAATCCCCCAACATCCCCAATCCCCCAACATCCCCAATCCCCCAATGTCCCCAATCCCCCAATGTCAGTCCCCAATCCCTCAGTGTCCCCAATGTCCCCAATCCCTCAGTGTCCCCAATGTCCCCAATCCCCCAATGTCCCCAACATCCCCAGTGTCCCCAATCCCCCAATCCCCTCAATGTCCCCAATCCCCCAATCCCCCCAATGTCCCCAACATCCCCAATGTCCCCAACATCCCCAGTGTCCCCAATGTGTCCCCACTGTCCCCAGGTGTCCCAGTACGGATCCCCCATGTGCATCATCGGGTTCATGGGGCTGGACCTAACACCCAATGTCCCCACTGTCCCCAATCCCCCAACATCCCCAATGTCCCCAACGTCCCCAACATCCCCAACGTCCCCAATCCCCCCAATGTCCCCAATGTCCCCAATGTCCCCAATGATGTCCCCAATGTGTCCCCACTGTCCCCAGGTGTCCCAGTACGGTTCCCCCATGTGCATCCTCGGGTTCATGGGGCTGGACCCCAACATCCCCAACATCCCCAATGTCCCCAATGATGTCCCCAATGTCCCCAATGTCCCCAATGATGTCCCCAACGTGTCCCCTCATCCCCAGGTGTCCCAGTATGGATCCCCCATGTGCATCCTCGGGTTCATGGGGCTGGACGTGCCGGCCCCGGCGGGGCCGCTCTGGATCCTGGGGGATCTGTTCCTGGCCCGCCACTACGCCGTCTTCGACCGCGACCACAACTGCGTGGGGCTGGCACCCAGCAAGTGACCCCCTCCCCCCGGGGACACCTGGGGACAGCAGGGACCACCAGGGATCAGCTGGGACCACCAGGGATCAGCTGGGATCAGCTGGGACACCTGGGGCCACCAGAAACCACCTGGGATCAGCTGGGACCATCTGGGACTCCTGGGATCAGCTGGGATCAGCTGGGCCACCTGGGATCAGCTGGGGCCACCTGGGATCAGCTGGGACACCTGGGGCCACCAGGGACCACCTGGGATCAGCTGGGACCACCAGGGATCAGCTGGGATCAGCTGGGACTTCTGGGACACCCTGGGGCCATCTGGGACACCCCGGGGCCACCAGGGATCACCAGGGCCATCTGGGATCAGCTGGAACCACCTGGAATCAGCTGGGGCCACCAGGGACCACCTGGGATCAGCTGGGATTAGTTGGGACCATCAGGGACTTCTGGGACCACTGGGGACCACCAGGGACCACCTGGGATCAGCTGGGACCTTCTGGGATAACCAGGGGCCACCTAGGATCAGCTGGGGCCACTTGGGACCCCCGGGGTTATCTGGGACCATCAGGGACTTCTGGGACTGCCTGGGACCACCAGGGACCATCTGGGACTACCAGGGACCACCTGGGACCTCCCTGGACCACCAGGGAGCACCTGGGACCATCTGGGACTCCTGGGATCAGCTGGGACCAGCCTAAGGAGCCATCAGAGACTTCTGGGACTGCCTGCAGGACCACCTGGGATCAGCTGAGGCCACCCCTGGGATCCCAGCGCTGGGACACCTGGGGCCACCAGGGACCACCTGCAGATCAGCTGGGACCGACCCAGGGGATCAGCTGGGATCAGCTGGGACTTCTGGGACACACTAGAGCCATCACGGGGCACCGGGGCCACCAGGGGTCACCAGGGCCATCTGGGATCAGCTGGAACCACCTGGAATCAGCTGGGGCCACCAGGGACCACCTGGGGATCAGCTGGGTGGTTAGGACCATCAGGGACTTCTGGGACCACTGGGGACCACCAGGGACCACCTGGGATCAGCTGGGACCTTCTGGGATAACCAGGGGCCACCTAGGATCAGCTGGGGCCACTTGGGACCCCCGGGGTTATCTGGGACCATCAGGGACTTCTGGGACTGCCTGGGACCACCAGGGACCATCTGGGACCACCTGGGACCTCCCTGGACCACCAGGGAGCACCTGGGACCATCTGGGACCACCAAGGACCCCTGGGGCCACCTGGGATCACCTGGGACCACCAGAGAACCCCTGGGACACCAGGGATCACCTGGGACCGTCTGGGATGACCTGGAACCTCCCAGGACCACCAGGGATCACCAGGGACCACCAAGGACCTCCAGGGCCACCTGGGACCACCAGGGATCACCAGGGACCACCTGGAACTTCTCAGGACCACCAGGGACCACCAGGGGCCACCAAGGACCCCTGGGACCACCAGGGACCACCAAGGACCCCCGGGGTCACCTGGGACCACCTGGAACTTCTCAGGACCACCAGGGACGACCTGGGACCACCTGGGATCATCTGGGACCCCCCCGGACCACCAGGGACCACCTGGGACCACCCAGTGACCCCCTCCCCCTCCAAGGACATCCTCCTCCCAATAAAGCTGCTGGTTTTGGGGACTCCTGGTCCTGGCTGCTCCTTGGGGGGGTGAACGACTAAGACACCCCACCTCCGGTACAGCCCAGTATATCCCAGTATGGCCCAGTTATAGCCCAGTATGGCCCAGTATATCCCAGTACAGCCCAGTATATCCCAGTATGGCCCAGTTATAGCCCAGTATAGCACACTATACCCCAGTACATCCCAGTATAGCCCAGTATGTCCCAGTATATCCCAGTACATCTCAGTACATTCCAGTATATCCCAATAATAATAAAATAATAATAATGGCCAGTCTTCGCGAGCGAAGATCCGGGGAAGGTCTTTCCACCTTCCAGCCTGCGCATTGGATTTTTTAGGTGAGACACAGTGTGCGCGGAACTGAGCCCACCCTTTAATCCTAAGGTTCATCTGCCGGGGCCAAGCGAGCTTGGACGGTGGCAGCGAGGTCCTTAGGACGTAGGTGGGTTGCCTTTAAGGGCTAACGAGCTCCACCTGCCCGGGAGTGGCCCTGACCGGGAATCGAACCCGGGTCTCCGCGGTGATAGCGCGGCGTCTTTACCACTAGACCAGCAGGGGCTCCATATCCCAATACATTCCAGTATAGCCCAGTGTATCCCAGTACATCTCAGTACATCCCAGTATATCCCAGTATACCCCAGGACATCCCAGTATAGCCCAGTACAGCTCGGTACACCCCAGTACATCCCAGAACATCCCAGTAGCCCCCAGACCCCTTCGAATTGTCCTCCCAGTGCTCCCAGTAGCCTCGCTGGGGAGTGGGCGGGGCTTCCACACGTGGATGGGCGGGGCCTCTCCATGTGGGTGGGGGCTCCGTGTTGTGGTGGGCGTGGCCTCCATACAGGGGCGTGGCCTCCCACAGTGGGTGTGTTCTCTCCAGTGTGGGCGTGGCCTCCCCACAAGGCGGGCTTTTCCCCCTCAGTGTAGGCGTGTCCTGTGTCAATGTGGGCGTGGTATCCCCTCACGGTGGGCGTGTCCTATGTCAATGTGGGCGTGGCCTCCTCTCAAGGCGGGCTTTTCCCCCTCACGGTGGGCGTGGCCTTCCCCTCACGGTGGGCGTATCCTCCCCTCATGGTGGGCGTGTCCTCCCCTCAAGGCGGGCTTTTCCCTCATAGTGGGTGTGTCCTCCCCTCCCGGTGGGCGTGTCCTCCCCTCACGGTGGGCGTGGTTTCTCCTCAAGGCGGGCTTTTCCCCCTCACGGTGGGCGTGTCCTGTGCCAATATGGGCGTGGCCTCCCCTCAAGGCGGGCTTTTCCCTCACGGTGGGCGTGTCCTCCCCTCACAGTGGGCGTGTCCTCCCCTCACGGTGGGCGTGGTTTCTCCTCAAGGCGGGCTTTCCCTCCCGGTAGGCGTGGCCTTCCCCTCACAGTGGGCGTGGCCTCCCCTCAAGGCGGGCTTTTCCCTCACGGTGGGCGTGTTCTCCCCTCCCGGTGGGCGTGTTCTCCCCTCCCGATGGGCGTGTCCTCCCCTCCCGGTGGGCGTGTCCCCCCTCCCTCCCGTCCCTCACTCCCGCCCCGCCGCGCCGGGATGCGGCACCTCCGTCCCCTCTCCCTCCCCTCTCCCCCTCCTCCTCCTCCTCCTCCTCCTCCGCCTATCGCGACAGCCTCCCCCCTCCTCCTCCCGTCGCGACCATGGGCTGGCAGGCCGAGCGCGACAAGGTGGTGATCAACGTCGGCGGGGTCCGCCATGAGACGTACCGCAGCACCCTGCAGACCCTGCCGGGCACCCGCCTGGCCGGCCTGGCCGAGCCCGGCGCCGCCGCCCGCTTCGACTACGACGCCGGCGCCGGCGAGTTCTTCTTCGACCGCCACCCGGCCGTGTTCGCCTACGTGCTCAACTACTACCGCACCGGCAAGCTGCACTGCCCCGCCGACGTGTGCGGGCCGCTCTTCGAGGAGGAGCTCGCCTTCTGGGGCATCGACGAGACCGACGTGGAGGCGTGCTGCTGGATGAACTACCGGCAGCACCGCGACGCCGAGGAGGCCCTGGACAGCTTCGAGAGCCCCGAGGGGCCCGGCCCGCCCGAGCCCGCCGAGCCCAAGCGCCTGTGCCTGGAGGAGGGCAGGCCCGCCGGCTGGTGGAGGAGGTGGAGGCCGCGGCTCTGGGCGCTCTTCGAGGATCCCTACTCGTCCAGGATGGCCAGGGTGAGGGGATGGGGGGAAAGGGGAGGAAAGAGGGGGGAGGGGGTGGGAGGGTTTTGAAGGGGGTGGGAGGGTTTAGGGCATCTGAGAGGGGTTCAGGGGGTGTCAGGGAGTTTAGAGGGGATGTCAGGGGTTTAGGGCATCTCTGAGGGGTTTAAGGGGTATGAGGGGTTTAAGGGGGTATAGAGGGGTTTAAGAGGGATGTCAAGGGGTTTAGGGCATCCTGAGGGGTTTAGGGCATCCTGAGGGGTTTAGAGGGGATGCCAGGGGTTTAGAGAGGATGCCAGGGGTTTAAGGGGGTGGGAGGGGTTTAGAGGGGATGTCAGGGGTTTAAGGGGGTGGAGAGGGTTTAGAGGGGATGTCAGGGGGTTCAGGGCATCTCTGAGGGGGTTCAGGGCATCTCTGAGGGGGTTTAAGGGGGATGTCAGGGGGTTTAGGGCATCTCTGAGGGGTTTGGAGGGGATGTCAGAGGGTTCAGGGCATCTCTGAGAGGGGTTCAGAGGGCATCTCTGAGGGGCTTTAGGGCATCTCTGAGGGGGTTTAAGGGGGTGTGAGGGAGTTTAGAGGGGATGCCAGGGGGTTTAGAGACGATGCCAGGGGTTTTAGAGAGGATGCCAGGGGGTTTAAGGGGATGCCAGGGGGTTTAAGGGGTGTGAGGGGGCTTTAAGGGGGTTTAGAGGGGATATCAGGGGGTTTAAGGGGGTGTGAGGGGGTTTAGAGGGGATGTCAGGGGATTTGGGGCATCTCTGAGGGGGTATAAGGGGGTGTGAGGGGATGTCAAGGGGTTTAGGGCATCTCTGAGGGGTTTAAGGGTGTGAGAGTGATTTAAAGGGGATGTCAGGGGGTTTAGGGCATCTCTGAGGGGGTTTAAGGGGGTGTGAGGGGATTTAAGGGGATGTCAGGGGTTTAGAGCATCTCTGAGGGGTTTAGGGCATCTCTGAGGGGGTTTAAGGGGGGATCTGAGGGGGTTTAGAGGGGGTTTAGAGGGGATGTCAGGGGTTTAGGGCATCTCTGAGGGGGAGTTTAAGGGGGGGTGGAGAGGGGGTTTAGAGTGGATGTCAGGCAGTTTAGGGCAACTCTGAGGGGGTTTAAGGGGGGGGTGTGAGAGGGGGTTTAAAGGGGTTTAGAGGAGATGTCGGGGGTTTAAGGGATGTCAGCGGGTTTAGGGCATCTCTGAGGGCCTCAGGGGGCTCTGAGGGGTTTAGGGGCTCTGAGGGGGTTTAGGGGAGTGTGAGGGGTTTGAGGGGGAGTGTGAGGGGGTTTAGGGGGCTCTGAGGGTTTTAGGGGGCTCTGAGGGGTTTAGGGGACATGAGGGTATTTAGGGGCTCTGAGGGGTTTGGGGGTTGTTGGAGGTTTTAGGGGGCTCTGAGGGGGCTTGGGGGTTGTTAGGGGGCTCTGAGGGGGTTTAGGGGGCTCTGAGGGGGTTTTGGGAGCTCTGAGGGGGTTTAGAGTTTGTATGAGGGATTTAGGGGCTCTGAGGGGTTTTAGGGGGCTCTGAGGGGCTTTTAGGGGAGGCTCTGAGGGGCTTTAGGGGGGCTCTGAGGGGCTTTAGGGGGATATGAGGGGTTTAGGGGGATATGAGGGGTTTAGGGGGATATGAGGGGGTTTAGGGGGCTCTGAGGGGGTTTAAGGCCTCTGAGGGGATTTAAAGAGGATGTTGGGGGTTTAGGGGTTGTCAGAGGGTTTAGGGGGCTCTGAGGGGGTTTAGGGGCTCTGAGGGGATTTAGGAGGATATGAGGGGTATTTAGGGGCTCTGAGGGGGTTTAGGGGGTTGTTGGAGGTTTTAGGGGGCTCTGAGGGGGCTTAGGGGTTGTTAGGGGGGCTCTGAGGGGATTTAGGGGGCTCTGAGGGGGTTTAAGGGGCTCTTGAGGGGATTTAAGGGGATGTTGGGAGTCTGGGGTCTGAGGGGGGCTCTGAGGGGGTTTAGGGGGCTCTGAGGGGATTTAGGGGCTCTGAGGGGATTTAGGGGGCTCTGAGAGGTTTAGGGGCTCTGAGGGGTTTAGGGGCTCTGAGGGGGTTTAGGGGCTCTAGAGGTTTGAGGATCTTTGAGGGGTTTAGGGATTTTAGGGGGTTTAGGGGTCTCTGAGGGGGTTTAGGGGCTCTGAGGGGTTTAGGGGGCTCTGTCAGGGGGTTTAGGGGGCTCTGAGGGGGTTTAGGGGGCTCTGAGGGGGTTTAGGGGGCTCTGAGGGGGTTTAGGGGGGGCTCTGAGGGGGTTTAGGGGCTCTGAGGGTTTAGGGGGCTCTGAGGGGGTTTAGGGGATATGAGGGGGTTTAGGGGTAGGGGGTTTAAAGGGGCTTGAGGGGTTTAAGGGGGCTCTGAGGGGTTAGGGGATATGAGGGGATTTAGGGGGCTCTGAGGAGGTTTAGGGGGTTGTTGGAGGTTTTAGGGGGCTCTGAGGGGCTTGGGGTTGTTAGAGGGGCTCTGAGGGGGTTGGGGGCTCTGAGGGGTTTAAGGCCTCTTTGAGGGGATTTAAAGGGGATGTTGGGGTTTAGGGGATGTCAGGGGTTTAGGGGGCTCTGAGGGGATTTTGAGGGCTCTGAGGGGGTTTAGGGGGGCTCTGAGGAGGTTTAGGGGGCTCTGAGGGGGTTTAGAGCTCATGTGAGGGCTTTAGAGGCCTGTGAGGGGTTTAAGGCCTCTTTGAGGGAGTTTAGGGGTCGATGTCAGGGGTTTAGGGAACTCTAGAGGGGTTTGGGGGGGCTCTGAGGGGGTCCTGAGGGGCTGTGAGGGGGTTTAAGGGTGTCTGAAGGGTTCAGGGGGGCTCTGAGGAGGATCAGAGGTGTTTGGGGGGGATATGAGGGGCTTCAGGGGGACTGGGAGAGGATTTAGGGCATCTCTGAGGGGGTTTAGAGGGATAAGAGGGGGTTTAGGGGGGCTTAGAGGGGTCTGCAAGGAGGCCAGGGGATGTTTGAGGGGCTTTGAGTGGTCTCTAAGGGGCTTTGAGTGGTCTCTAAGGGGCTTTGAGGGGTCTTTGTGGGCTTTGAGGGGTCTCTGAGGGGGTCTGAGGGGGTTTTGGGGTGTCTCTGAGGGGCTTTGAGGGGTCTCTGAGGGGCTTTGAGGGGTCTCTGAGGGGCTTTGAGAGGTTTTTGGGGTGTCTGAGTGGCTTTGAGGGTTTTTGGGGTGTTCTGGAGGGGAGTTGGGGACGTCTGAGGGAGTTTTGGGACGTCCCTGAGGGGACTTTGGGGTGTTCTTGGAGTGTTTTGGAGGTTTTTTTGGGGAGGGGAATCTCTGAGGGGGTTTTGGGGGGCTCTGAGGGATTTGGGGTTCTGAGGTAGGGGTTCTCTGAGGGGGTCTTGGGGGGCTCTGAGGGGTCTTGGGAGGTTTGAGGTGAGTTGGGACATGTCTGAGGGGGGTCTGTGAGGATTTCAGGGCGTTTTTGAGGCGGTTTGGGGCCTTTTTGAGGGGATTTAAGGTGTTTTTAAGGATTTTAGGGCATTTTTGAGGGGGTTTAGGGTGGTTTTGAGGGGCTTTAGGGGATCTGTGAGAGGGTTAAAAGGTCTGTGAGGGGGTTTTAGGGGGTCTGAGGGGCTCCAAAGGGGTTTTCAGAGGTGTCTGAAGGGATTTAGGGGGTCTCTGAGGGGGTTTTGGGGGTCTCTGAAAGGATTTGGGGTCTCTGAGGGGTTTGGGGTCTCTGAGGGACTTTAGGGTCCCTCGAGGAGGTTTTGGGGGTCTCTGGGGTGTTGGGGGATCTCTGACCTGAGTGGAGCCTCTGAGGGGTCCTGGGGGGCTCTGAGATGATTTTGAGGGGTTCAAGGAGGTCCAGGGGGCTTTGAGGTGATTTTGGGGGTCCAGGGGGCTGTGAGGGGGTCCAGGAGGGCTCTGAGAGTGATTTTGGGGGTTCAAGGAGGTCCAGGAGGGGCTCTGAGGTGATTTGGGGTGTCCAGAGGGGCTCTGAAGTGATTTTGGGGTAGTCCAGGAGGGCTCTGAGGTGATTTTGGGGTGTCCAGGGGGCTCTGAAGTGATTTTGGGGTGTCCAGGGGGGCTCTGAGGTGATTTTGGGGGCTCTGAGGTGATTTTGGGAGGTCCAGGGGGGCTCTGAGGTGATTTGGGAGGTCCAGGGGGCTCTGAGGTGATTTTAGGGGGCTCTGAGGTGATTTTGGGTAGTCCAGGAGAGCTCTGAGGTGATTTTGGGAGGTCCAGGAGGGCTCTGAGGTGATTTTGAGGGTCCAGGGGCTCTGAGGTGATTTTGGGGGTCCAGGGGGCTCTGAGGTGATTTTGGGGTCAGGGGCTCTGAGGTGATTTTGGGGAGTCCAGGGGGCTCTGAGGTGATTTGGGGGTCCAGGGGGCTCTGAGGTGATTTTGGGAGGTCCAGGGGGCTCTGAGGTGATTTTGGGAGCTCTGAGGTGATTTTGGGGGGCTCTGAGGTGATTCTGGGGGGTTTAAGGGGGTGTTTGGGGAGAGGTCCAGGAGGGCTCTGAGGTGATTTGGGGGGTTCAGGGAGGTCCAGGAGGGCTTTGAGGTGATTTTGGGTGGTCCAGGGGGCTCTGAGGTGATTTTGGGGGCTCTGAGGGATTTGGGGGTCAGGGGCTCTGAGGTGATTTGGGGGGTCCATGGGGGCTCTGAGGTGATTTTGGGGGCTCTGAGGTGATTTTGGGGGCTCTGAGGTGAGCTCTGAGGTGATTTTGGGAGGTCCAGGGGGCTCTGAGGTGATTTTGGGGGCTCTGAGGTGATTTGGGGCTCAGGGGGTTCTGAGGTGATTTTGGGGAGTCCAGGAGGGCTCTGAGGTGATTTTGGGGGGTCCAGGGGGCTCTGAGATGATTCTGGGGTGTCCAGGAGGGCTCTAAGGTGATTTTGGGAGGGCCAGTCTGAGGTGATTTAGGGGGCTCTGAGGTGATTTGGGGGCTCTCTGAGGGGGTGGGGAGGGGTCTGAGACACCGCAGGACTATTTTTGGGGGGGCACTGGGGACACTGCAGGGGACCCTGAGGGGACATTTTTGGGGGAAGGGGGAGGGTGGGAGGGGTGACACGGGTGGGGTTGATGGGGGTGACACGGGTGGGTGTGGGGGGTTCATGGGGTGACACGGGGGTCCATCCGTTGTCCCCACCCCCAGCGATGTCCTCGGTGTGTCCCCCGAAATGTCCTCCCCCCCCCGCAGCCGCTGGCCCCGATCGTGCCGCAGCGGGGCCCGTGGGAGGGGGAGGAGGAGGAAGGGGAGGGAAGGGGAGGAGGGGGGCAGGCGGGACCGCACTGCAGTGCCCCTCCCCCCACACACCTCGGCCTGTCCTACATCCCCTCCCCTCCCCCTCCCCAAGGGTCCCCCTCCCCCGCGTGGCCTAAATCGCCCCCCACTCGTGTCCCCAAACCCACCAACCCGAGCCTGGCCTACATCCCCTCCCCTCCCCTCCTCCCCAAGTCCCTCGTGTGTGTCCCCCCACCCCCACCGTGTCCCCAAACACCCCCGGCCTAGATCCATTCCCCCCGTGTCCCCCTGGGTGTCCCCCCACCACCCCACGCGTGTCCCCAACTCCCCCCCCCACCCGGCCTAGATCCACCCCACCTCGTGTCCCCTGGGTGTCCCCCCACCCCCACGCGTGTCCCCAAACTCTCCCACCCGGCCTAGATCCAGCCCCACACGTGTCCCCTGGGTGTCCCCCCACCCCCACGCGTGTCCCCAACTCCCCCCACACCCGGCCTAGATCCAGCCCCCGTCCCCACCCACCTGTGTCCCCCTGGGTGTCCCCCCCCACCCCCACGCGTGTCCCCAAATATCCCCACGGCATGGCCTCGATATCTTGTGTCCCCTCCGTCCCCCCCCGTGTCCCCAAACTCCCCTCCTGGGAGCCAGCCCCTGAGTGTGGCCCCCCTCCCCCCGTGTCCCCAAAATCCCCCCTGTGTCCCCAAAATCCCCCTGTCCCCAACTGTCCCCTGGGTCTGTGACCCCAGATCATGCTCTGTGTGTCCCCAGTGTCCCCAAACCCCCTGTGTCCCCAACTCCCCCCCGTGTCCCCAAAATCCCCCCTCGGGGTCTGTGACCCCCAGGTGTCCCCTCCTTGTCCCCCCCGTGTCCCCAAAATCCCCCCCATTGTCCCCAACTGCCTCCCCATCGTGTCCCCAACTGTCCCCTGGGTCTGTGTGACCCCCAAGTGTCCCCTCTGTGTCCCCCATGTCCCCAAACCACTCCCTTGTCCCCTACTGCCCCCAACATCCCCAACTGCCCCCCGGGCTCTGTGACCCCCCTAGTGTCCCCCCCGTGTCCCCAAACCCTCCCATGTCCCTGATGTCCCCCTGGCCTATGTGACCCCCCAAACGTGTCCCCCCATGTCCCCCTGTGTCCCCAAAGCCTTCCCAACCCCTGAATGACCCCCAGGTGTCCCCCATGTCCCCAAGCCCCCCGTGTCCCCAAAGCCTTCCTAACCCTGTGTGACCCCTCCCAGGTGTCCCCCATGTCCCCAAACCCCCCGTGTCCCAACTGCCCTGTGTGACTCCCCAGGTGTCCCCATGTCCCCCCTCATGTCCCCAAACCCCTGCCCCCCGCTGTCCCCCAACTGCCCTGTGTGACTCCCCAGGTGTCCCCCATGTCCCCCTCATGTCCCCAAACCCCTGCCCCCCCTGTGTCCCCCAACTGCCCCCTGGCCTGTGTGACCCCCATGTTCTCTGTGTCCCCCCATTGTCCCCAAACTGCCCTCCTGTCCCCAAACCCTGCCTCTGTGTCCCCAACCCCCAGGTGTCCCCCTGTGTCCCCCATTGTCCCCAAGCCCCCATTGTCCCCCCCATCCCCCATGTCCCCAAACCCCCAAACCCGATGTGTGACCCCCAGGTGTCCCTCTGTGTCCCCCCATGTCCCCAACTGCCCCCCCATGTCCCCAAATCCCCAAAACTGTGTTGACCCCCAGGTGTCCCCTGTGTCCCCCCTCATGTCCCCAACCCCCCGCTGTCCCCAAACCCTCCCCTGTGTCACCAACCCCCTCATGTCCCCCCTGTCCCCCTCATGTCCCCAAACCCCCAAACCCGATGTGTGACCCCCAGCTGTCCCCCTGTGCCCCCTCATGTCCCCAACCCCCATGTCCCAAACTGCCCCCCATGTCCCCAATCCCCCAAACCCCTGTGTGACCCCCCAGGTGTCCCCCTTGTCCCCAACCCCCCATGTCCCCCAACTGCCCCCCATGTCCCCAATCCCCCAAAACCCGATGTGTGACTCCCGGTGTCCCCAAAACCCTTCCTGTGTCCCCAGCCCCCCAGGTGTCTCCCTGTGCCCCTCCATGTCCCCCATGTCCCCACCCCTCCCCCACCAAACCCCTGTGTGACCCCCAGGTGTCCCCTGTGCCCCCTCATGTCCCCAAACCCCCCATGTCCCCAAACTGCCCCCCCCATGTCCCCAATCCCCCAAACCCTGTGTGACCCCCAGGTGTCCTCTGTGTCCCCCCTTGTCCCCAACATCCCCATTTGTCCCCAACTGCCCCCATGTCCCCAAATCCCCCAAAACCCGATGTGTGACCCCCAGAGTGTCCCCTGTGTCCCCCTCATGTCCCCCAACCCCCCGCTGTCCCCAAACCCTCCCCTGTGTCCCCAAGCCCCCAGGTGTCCCCCTGTCCCCCATGTCCCCAATCCCCCAAAACCCGATGTGTGACCCCTCAGCTGTCCCCCTGTCCCCCCTCATGTCTAACCCCCATTGTCCCCAACTGCCCCCCCATGTCCCCAAATCCCCCAAACCCGATGTGTGACCCCCGGTGTCCCCAAAACCCTCCTGTGTGCTCCAACCCCCAGGTGTCCCCAAAACCCCTCCTGTGTCCCCAACCCCCAGGTGTCCCCAAAGCCCCTCCTGTGTCCCCAACCCCCCAGGTGTCCCCAAAGCCCTCCTGTGTCCCCAACCCCCAGGTGTCCCCAAAGCCCCTCCTGTGTCCCAACCCCCCAGGTGTCCCCACCATGTCCCCCATGTCCCCAAAACCCCCTGGCTTTTATGTCCCCAGGAATTTGGGGGATTTTAGGAGTTTTAGTGTGAGGTTTGAGGGGGTTTGGTGGATTTGAGGCGTTTGGGGGGGTTTGGAGGGGTTTGAGGGAGTTTGGTGGATTTGGGGGTTTTGGTGAATTTTGGGGGAGTTGGAGGGGTTTGAGGGGGTTTGGTGGATTTTGGGGGGTTTGGAGAGGATTTGAGGGGTTTGGTGGATTTGGGGGTTTTGGTGGATTTTTGGGGGGTTTGGAGGGGTTTGGGGGGTTGGTGGATTTGGGGGGTTTTGGTGGATTTGGGGTCTCTCCCGAGCACATTTGGGGTCTCACCTTGATCATATTTGGGGCCTCCCCTGAGTATTTTGGGGTCTCCCCACAAACATATTTGAGGTCTCCTCCTGAGTGTATTTGGGGTCTCCCCCAATCATATTTGGGGTCTCCTCCTAAATATTTTGGGGTCTCACCCCCTGAGTATTTTGGGATTTCACTCTGATCGTGTTTGGGGTCTCCCCCGAGTGTATTTGGTGTCTCCCCCTGATCATATTTGGGGTCTCCCCCCCAGTCACATTTGGGTTCTCCCCCTGAGTATTTTGGGCTCTCAATTCTGAGTGCATTTGGGGTCTCCCCCTGAGTGTATTTGGGGTCTCACTCTGATCATATTTGGGGCCTCCCCCTGAGTATTTTGGGGTCTCCCCTCAGTCACATTTGGGGTCTCCCCTGAGTGTATTTGGGGTCTCCACCCGATCATATTTAAGGTCTCACCCTGAGTGTATTTGGGGCCTCCCCTGAGTGCATTTGGGGTCTCCCCCTGATCACATTGGGGGTCTCCCCTGAGTATTTTGGGGTCTCCCCTGAGTATTTTGGTATCTCCCCCCACTCACATTTGGGGTCTCCCCCTGAGTATTTTTGGGTCTCACCCCAAGCACATTTGGGGTCTCCCCCTGAGTATTTTGGGGTCTCCCCTGAGTATTTTGGGGTCTCTCCCTGAGTATTTTGGGGTCTCCCCCTGAGCACATTTGGGGTCTCCCCCTGAGTATTTTGGGGTCTCCCCTGAGTATTTTGGGGTCTCCCCCTGAGCACATTTGGGGTCTCCCCCTGAGTATTTTGGGGTCTCCCCTGAGTATTTTGGGGTCTCACCCCAAGCACATTTGGGGTCTCCCCCTGAGTATTTTAGGGTCTCCCCTGAGTATTTTGGTATCTCCCCCCACTCACATTTGGGGTCTCCCCCTGAGTATATTGGGCTCTCAATTCTGATCACATTGGGGGTCTCCCCCCGATCACATTTAGGGTCTCCCCCTGAGTATTTTGGGCTCTCAATTCTGAGTGCATTTGGGGTCTCCCCCTGATCACATTTGGGGTCTCCCCTGAGTATTTTGGGGTCTCTCCCTGAGTATTTTGGGCTCTCAATTCTGAGTGCATTTGGGGTCTCCCTCCAATCGCATTTGGGGTCTCCCCCTGATCACATTAGGGGTCTCCCCCTGAGTATTTTGGGGTCTCTCCCTGAGTATTTTGGGCTCTCAATTCTGAGTATTTTAGGGTCTCCCCTGAGTACATTTGGGGTCTCCCCCCGAGCACATTTGGGGTCTCCCCCTGAGTATTTTAGGGTCTCCCCTGAGTATTTTGGGGTCTCCCCCTGATCACATTGGGGGTCTCCCCCGATCACACTGGGGGTCTCCCCCTGATCACATTCGGGGTCTCCCCCTGATCACATTCGGGGTCTCCCCCTGAGTATTTTGGGGTCTCCCCCTGATCACACTGGGGGTCTCCCCCTCCCTTAACACCTCCCCGTCTCTCTCTCCTCCCCTTTCCTTTCCTTCCCCTCCCAGTACGTGGCCTTCGCCTCCCTCTTCTTCATCCTCATCTCCATCACCACCTTCTGCCTGGAGACGCACGAGGCCTTCAACCGCGTCATCAACAAGACCGAGACGGTGGCCACGGGCAACGGCACGGGCACGCAGGTGGCCGTGGAGGTGGAGACCGAGCCCTTCCTCACCTACGTGGAGGGCACGTGCGTGGTGTGGTTCACCTTCGAGTTCCTCATGCGCGTCAGCTTCTGCCCGGACAAGCGCGACTTCGTCAAGAGCAGCCTCAACATCATCGACTTCGTGGCCATCCTGCCCTTCTACCTCGAGGTGGGGCTCCGGGGCCTCTCCTCCAAGGCGGCCAAGGACGTGCTGGGCTTCCTGCGGGTGGTGCGCTTCGTGCGCATCCTGCGCATCTTCAAGCTGACGCGGCACTTCGTGGGGCTGCGCGTGCTGGGCCACACGCTGCGCGCCAGCACCAACGAGTTCCTGCTGCTCGTCATCTTCCTGGCCCTGGGCGTGCTCATCTTCGCCACCATGATCTACTACGCCGAGCGCATCGGCGCCGACCCCGACGACGTCACCGGCAGCCGCCACACCTACTTCAAGAACATCCCCATCGGCTTCTGGTGGGCCGTGGTGACCATGACCACGCTGGGCTACGGGGACATGTACCCCATGACGTGGTCGGGCATGCTGGTGGGCGCCCTGTGCGCCCTGGCCGGCGTGCTCACCATCGCCATGCCCGTGCCCGTCATCGTCAACAACTTCGGCATGTACTACTCGCTGGCCATGGCCAAGCAGAAGCTGCCCAAGAAGAAGAACAAGCACATCCCCAGGCCCCCACAGCCCGGGTCGCCCGGCTACGGCTCGCCCGGAGCGGGGATGGGCACGGGGATGGGGATGGGACCCAACGGAGGAGGCGGCGGCAGCGGCACCGGCAGCCCCCGAGGGGCGCGCAGGGCACCCCCGGCCTGCCCCCTGGCACAGGAGGAGGTGGTGGAGATCAACAGGGCCGGTGAGAGGGAGAGGGGGACACAGATTGGGGGTTTGGGGAGACTGGGGGCAGTTTTGGGTGGTTTGGGGAGAGTTTGTTGCGGTTTGGGGGGTAATTTAGTGGGTTTTGCACCAGGAGGAGGTGGTGGAGCGGGTCCAGAGAAGAGCAACCAGGCTGGTGAAGGGACTTGAGCACAAGTCCTATGAGGAGAGGCTGAGGGAGCTGGGATTGTTTAGTCTAGAGAAGAGAAGGCTTAGAGGTGACCTCATCACTCTCTTCAACTACCTGAAGGGAAGTTATAGCCAGGTGGGGGTTGGTCTCTTCTCCCAGGCAACCAACAACAGGACAAGGGGACATGGGCTCAAGCTCTGCCAGGGGAAGTTTAGGTTAGATGTTAGGAAGAAATTCTTTACAGAGAGGGTGATCAGGCATTGGAACGGCCTGCCCAGAGAGGTGGTGGATTCACCATCCCTGGAGGATTTTAAAGAGATTGGACATGGCCCTTAGTGCCATGATATAGTAATTAGAGTTGGATCAGGGGTTGGACTCGATGATCTTGGAGGTCTTTTCCAACCCAATCTATTCTATGATTCTATGATTCTATGTGGAGATCAACAGGGCCGGTGAGAGGACAGGGGGTACAGATTGGGGGTCTGGGGGAGATTGGAGGGGCAGTTTGGGGGTTTGGGGAGATTGGGGGTTTTCTTGGGTTTTGGAAGGGTTTGGGGGCAGTTTGGGGGTTTGGGGGCAGTTTGGGGGTTTGGGAGCAGTTTGGGGGTTTTGGGGGCGGTTTGGGGGCAGTTTGGGATTTTGCTCCTCCTGGCCCAGGAGGAGGTGGTGGAGATCAACAGGGCCGGTGAGAGGAGGGGGGGGTACACACCCGAAATTGGGGGGTCTGGGGGGTTTGTGGGGATTTTGGGGGGTTTTACCTCCAAATTTTGGGTGGTTTTACCTCCAATTTTGGGGCTCCTCTCCCGAGAGGGGGCGTGTCCAATTTTGGGGGGTTTCCCCCCGTTTTTCCCTCCAGGATCTCGACCCAACGGCGAGGCGGAGTGGGGGGTTTTACCTCCAATTTTGGGGAGTTTTACCTCCAATTTTGGGGAGTTTTACCTGTAATTTTGGGGGGGTTTACCTCTAATTTTGGGGGGTTTTACCTCCAAATTTTGTGGCTCCTCCCCAAGTGGGGGCGTGTCCAATTTTGGGGGTTTTTACCTCTAATTTTGGGTCTCCTCCCCGCGTGGGGGGCGTGTCCAAACCCCAATTTTGGGCGTTTTCCCCCCAGAATCGCGGCCGAACGGCGAGGCGGAGTGGGGGGATTTTACCTCCAAATTTTGGGGGGTTTTACCTCCAAATTTTGGGTCTCCTCCCCGCGTGGGGGCGTGTCCAATTTTGGGGGGTTTTACCTCCAAATTTTGGGGGGGTTTTACCTCTAATTTTGGGGGATTTTACCTAAAATTTTGGGGGGTTTTACCTCTAATTTTGAGGCTCCTCCCCGCGCGGGGGGCGTGTCCAAACCCCAATTTTGGGCGTTTTCCCCCCAGAATCGCGGCCGAACGGCGAGGCGGAGTGGGGGGTTTTACCTCCAAATTTTGGGGGGGGGTTACCTCCAAGTTTGGGGGGTTTTACCTCCAAATTGTGGGGGGTTTTACCTCCAATTTTGGGAGGTTTTACCTCCAAATTTTGGGGGATTTTACCTAAAATTTTGGGGGGTTTTACCTCCAAATTTTGAGGCTCCTCCCCGCGCAGGGGCGTGTCCAATTTTGGGGGGTTTTACCTCCAAATTTTGGGGGGTTTTACCTCCAAATTTTGTGTCCAAACCCCAATTTTGGGCGTTTTTCCCCCCAGAATCGCGACCCAACGGCGAGGCGGGCAGGGCGGCGCTGGCCCAGGAGGATTGTCCCCCCATCGACCAACCCCTGTCCCCCGACGAGCGGCCCGGGGGGGCCGTGCTGGTGCTGGGGGGACCCCAAAACGGCCCCCCCGGAGGAGGAGGAGGAGGAGGAGGAGGGGCAGGAGGAGGGGGAGGGGGTCGCGAGCGCTGCGGTCGCGACAGGGCCTGTTTCCTGCTCGGCCCCGACTACGCCCCCCCCCCAGAGGGACCCCTGCGCAAAGGTGGGTGAGGAATTCCCCCCAAATCCCTAAAAAAATCCTCAAAATCTACCCCAAAATCAACCCCCTCCTGCCCCTGGGGGGACAAACACACCCAGACCCTAAAAAATCCCCAAATCTACCCCAAAATCAACCCATTCCTGCCCCAGGGGGGGACAAACACACCCCAACCCTAAAAAATCCCAAAATCTACCCCAAAATCAACTCATTCCTACCTCTGGCAGGAATAAACACACCCCAACCCTAAAAAATCCCAAAATCTACCCCAAAAAAAACCAAAATCTACCCCAAAATCAACCCATTCCTGGCCCTGGGGGGACAAACACACCCCAACCCTAAAAAATCCCAAAATCTACCCCAAAATCAACCCATTCCTGACCCCGGGGGGACAAACACACCCAGACCCTAAAAAATCCCCAAATCTACCCCAAAAAATCCCCAAATCTACCCAAAAAAATCCCAAAATCTACCCCAAAAAATCCCAAAATCAACCCCAGAATCAACCCCCTCCTGTCCCTGGGGGGAACAAACACACCCCAACCCTAAAATATCACAAAATCAGCCTTAAAATCAACCCCAAAATCAACCCTAAAATCAACCCACTCCTGCCCCTGGGGGGACAAACACACCCCAACCCTAAAAAATTCCAAAATCTACCCCAAAAAATCCCAAAATCTACCCCAAAATCAACCCACTCCTGCCCCCGGGGGGGACAAACACACCCAGACCCTAAAAAATCCCAAAATCTACCCCAAAAAAATCCCCAAATCTACCCCCAAAAAATCCCCAAATCTACCCAAAAAAATCCCAAAATCTACCCCAAAAATTCCCAAAATCTACCCCAAAATCAACCCATTCCTGACCCTGGGGGGACAAACCCACCCAGACCCTAAAAAATCCCAGAATCTACCCCAAAATCAACCCCCTCCTGCCCCTGGGGGGAACAAACACACCCCAACCCTAAAAAATCCCAAAATCTACCCCAAAAAATCCCCAAATCTACCCCAAAGTCTGTCCCAAAATCTACCCCAAAATCAACCCATTCCTGACCCCGGGGGGGACAAATACACCCCAACCCTAAAAAATCCCAAAATCTACCCCCAAAAAATCCCAAAATCTACCCCAAAAAATCCCAAAATCTACCCCAAAATCAACCCATTCCTGACCCCGGGGGGGACAAATACACCCTAACCCCAAAAATCTACCCCAAAATCTACCCCAAAATCAACCCATTCCTGCTCCTGGGGGGGACAAACACACCCCAACCCCAGAAACCCCCAAAATCTACCCCAAAAAATCCCCAAGTCTACCCCAAAAAATCCCAAAATCTACCCCAAAAAGTCCCCAAACCTACCCCAAAATCAACCCACTCCTACCCCTGGGGGAACAAACACACCCCAACCCTAAAATATCACAAAATCAACCCCAAAAAATCCCAAAATCTACCCCAAAATCAACCCCCTCCTGCCCCTGGGGGAACAAACACACCCCAACCCTAAAATATCACAAAATCAACCCCAAAAAATCCCAAAATCTACCCCAAAATCAACCCCCTCCTGCCCCTGGCAGGAACAAACACACCCCAATCCCAGAAACCACCAAATCAACCCCAAAATCAACCCTAAAATCAACCCCCTCCTGCCCCTGGGGGGAACAAACACACCCCAACCCCAAAAAATCCCAAAATCAACCCCAAAATCAACCCACTCCTGCCCCTGGGGGGACAAACACACCCCAACCCTAAAATATCACAAAATCTACCCCAAAGTCTGTCCCAAAATCAACCCACTCCTGCCCCTGGGGGAACAAACACACCCCAACCCCAAAAAAATCCCCAAATCTACCCCAAAAAGTCCCCAAACCTACCCAAAATCAACCCATTCCTGCTCCTGGGGGGAACAAACACACCCCAATCCCAGAATATCCCAAAATCAGCCTTAAAATTGACCCCAAAATCTACCCCAAAATATCCCAAAATCAGCCTTAAAATTGACCCCAAAATCTACCCCAAAATATCCCTTGGGGGTCCCCCAACCCCCCCCCGGGTGCCCCAAAATCCCTTGGGGATCCCCAAAACCCCCCCAGGGCACCCCAAATTCCCCCAAAACTCCTCGAGGGGTTCCCAATCCCCCAAAACCCCCTGGGGTCCCCCAACCCCCCCAACACCCTGGGGTCCCTCAACCCCCAGGGCACCCCAAAAACCTCCCAAACTCCCCCAAAGCCCCCAAACCCACTGGGAGGTCTCCCAAGCCCCCCTCCAGGGCACCCCAAAAACCTCCCAAAACCCCCAAAACCCCTGGGGGTCCTCAACCCCCGGCACCCCAAAACCCCCAAACCCGAGGTCCTCAATCCCTCCCACCCCCAAATCTCTGCCCTGCACGTCCCCCTCTCCCCCTCGGGGTCCCTCCCAGTCTCTGCCCTGCCCTGAACTGGGAGAACTGGGAGCTGGTTTTTTTGGGGGGGCTCACTGCACAGACTCCCCGGCGCTTTTGGGGGCTCTGGGTGCCCCTTGCACACGCGCAAGGGGCGGGGCCTGCTGGGGGCGGGGCCTGCTGGGGGCGGGGCCTGCTGAGGCGGGGCCTGCTGGGGGCAGGGCCTGCTGGGGGTCCTTGTCCCCATTTGAGGGTCCTTGCCCTGTTTTAGGTCCTTGTCCCCATTTGAGG